CTAAAGGGGAGTTTGACAACATGTGCTGATCCATGCCTCTGTTGTTATCCCGTGTGATTACTGACGACAACAGCTGGAAACAGTAGGGGAACAGGAAAGGAACTCTGAAGCACACCACTTGGCATCGGGAACCTGTTGGATACAAAAGAGCCGGCTCTGACTGACTGCTACCTGGTGTAGGGATAATCTCTACGCCAACTTAGTCACTTTCGGTGTACGCCCATAAGCTGACGTTCCTTATACAGAATATCCTGATTTCACCTACCAAAAACTATTGAAAACCCAAGCAAACAAATATGAATGGACTTCCTCTACTCAACAGAAGTGGTTTCCGAATTCCTGGGCTAGAAAGTTTGCTGCCTTGGGGTTAGTGAGTGAACTGAGTGAACTAATAGTCTTCCATTCAGTCAGTAAGCCTAAGAAAACGACTCACGTCGTATAAGGTTATTGGTGCATATATGACCCAAGAGGAGTGAAACTTGTTGGTTCTTCGCGTACTCAGCAGATCAGGAAGCCTTACTCCTCTTGGATTGTCAAGCTCGCCTAACATAACACAATGCAAACAGTTCTCTTGGTCTCAGTGTAGGAATTCAAAACGTTCACAGTTTCCCTTTCCTTGCCTCCACATGGACATTCAGGAAATATAACTGTAGCCATTGTCTTTAAAGACATACGTGATGGTTTTTGTGTGTGATTACAAATCACAAATCACATAGTTCTCTTCCTAAATTCCCCGTCATGATGGGGTTCTGTGGACTCAGTATCATCAGGAACTCTGCGTTATCACACAAATACTTCGAAAGCTGACTTATTTACTCTCATACGTCAACTAGTTCAGGTATCTTTATTCCAAATGCTCAATGTCCGGATAAGTTCTCAGCTCCTCCTCGTCGTCAGTATGTAAATGAGAGGCTAACAGAATATCCACTGCATTCCTTTGCACTGCTTTATTGAGCGGCATGCACACAACAATTCCATCAGGGGGGCACAACTACTCTGATGCATGCAAAATCACATTCCCCATGTGACTGGTAATACAGATAGTGGATAATTGCGGACTGCCCACTATAAGTCTGCACGATCAACGATAACATAAAAAGGTAAATATGAGATACATGCGTATACATTAGTATGCATAACACTTTTACTTTCCAAATATATTTTTACTGCACGAAAAGCAGGTTAGACTAACATTTTACAGAATGCGTCTTATTCTTTGTATATTAACATTATGAACAGATGACTTACCTAAACATAGTGACGATGCTGCAAGCAATTACAACTAGTCAGCTTACAGACAGTAGGCTGGTACTGACATGACCAATGTAACGCAGTTAGACAGCTTGACATGCCACATAGCAAATCTAGCAGTTAAGTGAAGAAAACAACACCAAACGAAGATATCAGGGGGAATCACTCCACAGCGATCTCGTTTCGTAGAAAATTCGAACGAAATATTGCCCAGCAATACCAGCTACGCAACATTAAGTTTACATGACAACATGCTGCTTACCGGCACTCCATGGGATATCCGAACAGTGTTTGAAGCTAGCTGGCAAGGCTCCCCAGATTGCCGAAGAGATGAGGAGGTACAGCATAGAGATGCTAACAGTCTGCGAAAGCAGATGGAATGGAAGTGCACTCCCCCAACTGTCAACTGAAGAGTCAATAATCTACTCCGATACTGTCACCCAAACGACAACAAACGAGCACATTGAGGAAGTGGATAACTTGACGTCCGCGGGGACATCGAAGACTATCATGCAGTGGGAACCAATCTCCTCCAGCATCAGGATCATGATAGCAAGATTCAATTCAAAAGGAAGGAAAGTTACAATCATACAGTGCTACGCTACACTACATACCTACAAATAATGCGAATCAAGAGAAAAGAAGGAATTCTACAGACAGCTGCAATCATTACTAGACAATGCTCCAGTTGGCGACATCAAAACTCACTCTATAATGGGTGGTGTGACATGAATGCCAAACTGGGAGCAGACAACACAGGAAGAGAACTCATCATGGGTCGAGAGGTACTCGATGAAATAAACAAGAAAGGAGAACTGTTTGCAGACTTCTGTGCATTCAACCATTTGGTGATTGGAGGAGAGGCACTGTGTACAAACACAAGGATATTCACAAGGCAGCGACATGGGTTTCACCAGACACTAGGACACACTAAAAGTCAGACCGACTTCGTCTCAATCTGATGAAGGTGGAGATGCACTCAGCCTACTGGACACAAGATCAGATCAAGAAGGGGAGCAGATGTAGGTTCACACCACTCACTAGTGCATCTAGTGCAAGGAACCTACCTCCAAAATCAAGTTGAAAGCCTTCAAAGAAGTTGGTGATAGACGACCTTAGTTGAAGTTCAACACCCAGAACAGAAAGTGAACTGAAGGATGAAGCCACGAAGGACACCCTCACGTCAGCTAGTCATTAGGACAAAATGGGAGATATTAAGCAACATCCCGAGGAAATGTGTGTGGAAGAACACTGGAACTCCTTGGAAGAAATGTAGGGAAACCTGTATAACCATGTTAGGAAGGAAGAAGATGCGAGACAAGGAATGAATCTCGACAGATACAGGAAGCTGATAGAGGAGGGAGAGGAAGATGGTGATGGTGAAGCAGAAGATGAACCAGTGTACTGCAATTCAGGGATGAACAACGAAAAGAGGGGGTGAACACAACCCATAAAACACTATACTGGATAAAGAAGTGAAGAAGAGTGCGCACAAAGATAAAAGACACTTCTACGACACACTGGCAAGTGAACCAGAACAGACTGGTGGTGGGAGAGATGAAAACCTGGCAATGCCACATCAGATAGCCAGGTTATTATCTAGGAGAGAAGAGATCAACACAGATGAAACTAATGGAGGACAGTGAAGAAAAATTAGTTACCGAAGAGAAAAGCAAAGAAAACTATTGGTTAACCAATTCCCCAAACTCTTGAATTGAACACCACCACCTGCAGCGTGGAATCATTCTCCTCTCCGCCCCAAGCAAAATACTAAGCCACAACATCCTGAAGAGACCGAAAGATGCTATGGATTCAAAACTACGACCGGAACAGGCAGGCTTCAGGAAGTACAAATCATGTGCAGGTCAAATTGCAACGTTATGCATCATCATAGAACAGAGTGTAGAATGGCAGTCAACTCTCTACCTCAAATTCATCGATTTTGAAAAGGCTTTCGACAGCGTCGACTGAGAAGTAATTTGACAGCTGCTTCAATACTACGGTTTGGCTCCACAAACCTTTATCAACCTCATTCAACAGCAGCTACATGATGAGATGATGCCACATGCCAAGTGATTCACAATGGAAAGCTCAGTGACGCCTTTGAAGTGAAGACAGGTTGGTAGGTAAGACAAGACTGCCGCCTACTATCACAGATGATCTTCCTGATTGTGGTCAACTGGACTGTACTGGATCATGTAGCAAACCGTGAGGAGCTGTGAGAAGAGGGGCATACGCTGGTTCGACCAGCGCGTCCGTTGCTGTGATTCCCGAGAATAAGAACATCTTTATTAGATGCTGCATGCCTCACATGGTTTTTTATTCAGCCAGTACTGGTTGAGAAATTCTGTCACGTCCCGGTCTAACCTACTAATGAGTCTGTAGCACCTATGGAACCGGAAAACCACAATAACATAGACGTAACCCTCCGGTAAATTCTCATGACGTCAGATGACGTAGGTATGCTTTGACTATTGCATTCTTGGCCTGAAAATTGTGACAGTAAATGTATTTTCAACTCACCCCTTTACACAAGGTATGGCATACATGGAACGCACAGAGCACTGTATGCCTACTTATTATCTATGTGTTACGAAGTCTGGGTCGTGCTTATCGGCAGCATAATTTCTCGGGAACGGTCCAATGCCCACGCAGCACATCTTTTCATCTCTTCTCCTATTTATGCAAACATTAAACTATACCCACGACCAAAGTTACAGATACGACCAGTTGAAAAAATCCGGATCTGTCTGATAATCATTATACGTAGACTTTACCCTCCTGTTCTCTTTATAAGTGCACTATAAATGCAGTCAATGCCCACTACTTCCGAATATTTGTGATGCAACTGCATTTGTTCACCTGAGGAAAAGTACACTCATGGCAACACATGCGAACTACCTAACTCCGAACAAATTTCTTTCAGTTTTCCTTTCTGCCTCAATAAATCGAATATTTCTGGTGGTGTCCTGTTGTCCAAACGAAATCATATTCTTAATTTTAAAACTGCCTTTCACAACTTTCAACCTCATATTTCTCACATCCCTTGCCGTAATAACCGCATTCCATTATTCTCCGATGTGTCAGGTCACATCATCCATGGAGGATAACCGCTGAAAAACTGGTCCCCAAGTTCCCTTCACTTCCCCCGTTAGTCGCCTACCCCAACCATAACTGATTGAGTACAAAGGTGATTGTCAACCATTCTGTAGGATTTAACAGTATACCCATTCACCTTCATTGCAAACCAGGACATAGACAGAGAGTTTCAAAATTTAAACTGAAGATCGTTTTTCCAAATAGGAGGGACTACGGTTGCCCTATCAACCACATACCTTGGGGTTTACGGTTCACTCTGAAAGTACAGTTAAAAAGAACAACGGTGTACTTCAGTGGACTGTCGCTCGTTCCTTTGGTTTTCACGCCAAACAGTGGGTATAAGTGACCTGATTTCATCGTAAAACAACCTCTGAATACATTTTGCAGTTCATTAACTATCCTCAACCACATTCCAGTCGTGGAATGGCTTCGGTACCGCCAATTCCTGGAACTGCCAAGTTAAGTCAAGTAAGACTAGACGCGAGAGATCAAAAACTACCAGTTTTCTACGCTCGCACTATCAATATTGGATACTGGAAGACTGCAGTATTCTTGGAAGCCTTGAATGTGTTATCCAAAAATACTGACTAGTCAGTAAATGAAAGCAGGGAAACGCATCAGCAAAATTTTCAGATGCTCAAGGTCGACGGGGTATAGGAGTGAGCCATATTCGTTTTGTGGATAACTTTTAGCCATACTCCTGATCTAAATCCTGGTTTCGATTTTGCAACAGCAAGTCGTGGGGTATTTTCCGAATACTTTTTTACTAATAAATGCAGGTCCACTTTCTGTGCTTGCAGTGTTCCTACCAGTTTTTAGCTTAAATCAGAGATGTTTCTATACCATATGGTATAGAAACATCGGGCGCACTTTGGGACTTTTGACACTTTCGGGTAAAAGGTTTGAAACATTCAGGGAAATTCGTGCGTCGCCCTAAATGCGCTCAAAGTAAAACTATAGGGTTTTTGCCCGAATGTTACAAAGTGCGCCCCAAATAAATGCTAGCTGAGATTGGGGTAGTTTACTGTAGTTCGTCTTGGCTCGCAAATGAATTCGTGCTAATTCATATACGTAACTGCAGTAGAAGCTACAGATATCTAATTGTTAGGAATCTTAACGCCCTGCACTCAAAATGAATGGATCTTACAGTCTTAGCCTCTGGCAGTTACTTAAAGAATTATTTTCTTCTAACGGTACTAGAATCTCCTTTAATTTAAAACGTAACGTATGCAACACGATACACTTTTGAACGCGTCATTGTTTCTAGGTTGGTTCTAAACCATCATCGTGAAGGTTTTATAAATCTGCGATACTTCCCTCATGTGCTAAATTTCGGTTTCCAACGTATGATTTTGAATACGTCAATGTTTTCCCTTCGATCTAACGTGCGACGCGTAGGTATTTCAGGCATAAAGAATTACGCTGTCAATTAGGATTGGATTGTCGACTAGTCAATCGAGATCTGGGATTGGTTGAGAACTCTATTGAAGAGGTGTTGATGACATTTATTCTATGATCGACTCCACGAAAACCCTCACATTACCCTCCATAGTTTGATAAAGTCGCAAAAACTGTCAAGGCCTAGGAAATGTTTGTGGGACTTGCTTTTAGAAACTGGACCGAAAACATTTAAAACCACGTTCTGTTAAGTCCATAATCCGTACAAAACTTTGATTTCACGAGAAACGGCTTTTAAATTAATTTACCAAAGCTGTCCTAAGAGACTGTTCACGTTCATTAGAGGGACTGAAAGAAATGTGGAATTCCTTATCTGGTGACAGGTAAAAAGTCTGGTAGTCTGGCGCAGTCTGATCTGTCCAAAGCTGAATACCTATCGGATTATTTTAGTGAAGTCTTCTGTGTAGATCATAATAGTTGAGTGCTCAGTAGTGGTGTTATCACTGCACCACTAATAGATACATTGCTCATAACAAAGGAAACAGTCTTCCAGTTGCTCACTAATCTTAAACCTGGAAAATCCCCGAGTTCCAATGAGTTCCACCCCAGAATGCTATTTTTACTAGCGCATATTGTTTCTAAACCAGTCACTGGTCTTTTCATTATGTTCTTATTTCAGACTTGCCACCCTAGAGACTGTAAAGATGCTATAATCAGCCCAGCTTTTAAGGTCAGTAGTCTCTAGTTGGTGGCTAACTATCGTTTTGTGAGTTTTACTGGCATAGTTATTAAGGTTTTAGAAAAAAAAAATAGTTCGTCACAAGGTACTTAACCATGTCAAGTCAAGTAATGTTTTTGCATCACAGCGACACGGTTTTCATACTTGACACACCTGTTCAACAAACCTCATCGCCAGAGAAGAATAAGTTAAAGCCCGTGATTGCAAGCTGGCAATAGATGGCGTGTTCATAGACTTCAGTAAACCATTTGATAAAGTGTCTCACGTAAAACTGCTAGGAAAGCTCTCCTCCTTCGGGCTTGATGCTTCGCTGCAAGCCTGGATTAGCGACTTTCTGTACGATAGAAGGCGAAGAGTGAGGGTTAATGAACACTGTGGTGAAGTTCCTCAAGGAACAATCCTAGGTCCCCTTCTTATCTTGTTATAGTCAACGAACTACAACAAGTGCTCAATGCTTTCGTTCTGTTATTCGTTAATGACATAAAAGTCTGAAGAGTCATACGTAGTGTTGACAGGTATGCACTTCATGTGGACTTGGATGAGCTGGTAGGTCCATCCAAACGTTGGTGCCTGGAAATTAACTCTGGCAAAAGGGCGATAATTCACATTGGTCAGGGCAGTTGTCCCCCTATTCTGTTAACGGTACACCACTACTCCCAGTCTTTGAACTGACTTGGGTGTCATCATAAGCCATGATTTGAAAACTTCGGCACTGCAATACAATTTCACCAAATGTTTTCGTGTATTATGGTCTGTCTGCAGAGCTTTCAAACGTTTTGAGCAGGATACTCTATTCTACTTACATTAGACCATATTTGGAATACTTTGTTCAGGCTGCCACTCCATGTCTAGAAAAGGATGTTGACGTACTCAAGCGTGTTCAAAGGGTATCTACGAAGCTTGTGGCAGGCCTTTCAAATCTGCCCTATGAGGAGCGACTAGATCGGCTAAACGTATTCTCGCTGTCTTATCATAGTAAACGGGCTTATCTCATACTGGTATTCTGTATCCTAAATAATGACTTCGGTAAAGATAAGTCCTGTCTTTTCTCTCCTGCTAGAATTGATTATCTGTGAAGAAATCACAAGCAAATCCGAAAACCAATCAAATCAACTTAGTGTGAATCTACGTTTCTACCATCGTGTGATCAAAGACTAGAACTCCTTACCTCAGCAAGTATCATCAGCACCTTCGGTCGGCGCGTTCAAGGAGAAACTAGATCTTCACTGAAATAACTATTACATGGATTAACACGGACCAACTGACTTACTACCCTTATTGCTGAAAACTGGATTGAACTGACCCTTCTCAATTCTCATACTGGCTGAGTGAACCACCGCCAAATCTTCAAACACCTCAGCACGTTTCGTCCACAGACTAGAGAAAAACCTGTTAGCAGCTCATCGTTACATTTCTGTGTTTCTGATAAGGTTCAGGTCGATCTCAGTGAAATTGACGTGCACTCAACAGCAGCCATTGCCTCAAATGTAACTTGCTAGCAGCTTTACACACCATACCTGGTCTCAACCTTGCCGGGATACACACAATCACCAGAGTAGAGTTTTTTCATCTGGAGGGAGGGGCACAGTGTAACGCTTTTAAAACCTTACTGATCTATGTTCTGTTTTCTATTTCCTGACTGCCTCTTCTCGTTGTGATTCATTACCGTTTGTCGACTTTCTTTTATTATTCAGTGTAAGTGCATCCTCTATGCCTGCTGGGTCCTCTAATCACGTTTTTCTCTTCTTCTCCCTTCCAGATTCTTGTACTAGCTGAGTGGACTTCCACCGCCACTTACGTTCATTTTGTATCCCGTGCAACAATATACCCACAAGCTGCCAGAAAATCCACTAACAGCTGATTGCTACATGCAATATGTCAAAAGACGATAGGAAAGCAGAGCTTGAGAGGAAAAAGGCGAAGTTAGCCATATTGCGAGAGAATAAGATGAAAAGAGACAAAGTGAAAATAAATGGAGTGAATGTTGAGACTCAGGGCCTTCGAACAGAAACTGAAGAACTACTGCGGACTCTTGGCATTCCTGTTTCTGAAACTCTACTTCCTCAAAGTAAAGATGATTTAGTTCCCATAAAACAAGCTGTAGATGAAGCACAGTAAGCTTCCCAATTTCTATCTTCATCTCTTCACTCAGGATAAAATCTGACACTTTTAAAAGGCGTAAGAAGTTGGGTTTCTCGCAAATAAATGAGATTGATCTTTTTCCTAAGGAGTATATAACGTACTCTAAAATGACGCAGACATTTGATGCAAATGTTTTGCCACAAGGTACGTATATGTTACTGTTTTATCTTATTGAATAGTTAGTGGTGGTGGTCGAATTGGTAAGTTATCGGTTCCCAAAAGAAACTTGTCATAGATTATCCACGCGAAGCTATAACTTCTCCAAAATTTATGACTAATTTGGAATGGGATGATGAGTTTTCCATGAGTAAGTTTGTATGTTGTGATATGCGTAATACATATGCACACGACTAATTTCATTTGACTTTAATTCATTGTAAAGCTAACGGTATATCCTAACACTTGTTTTCATACTGTTGTTGTAGGAGTATGATCTTCAAATCATTATTTTGATGTGTTTAGGCTGAGAACCGTCTGTTATCTAAACCTGCTAGCATCGTAAATGAAAGAAATCTTCCCACTTTCTCATTTTTCATTATACCGTTTGGTGACATTTACTCAAGTGGTTAGTTTCTGCAGCAAAATCCGAATATTCATAGTTAAGGAAATAATCTGGAGTACTTTGTGCTGTCAGTAGTTTAAGGTTATTGTTACGTTGTGTTATTTTATTCTACTAAAACTATGTTCTATAAAGTTATTGGCATAGCACTTTCTCTCTACAATAGTGGCACCTTTCGAAGATGCGTCCATCGAATCCTTTGACATATCTTCTGTGATCAAAGAAGTGCAAAGAATGCCAGTTATCGAGCCAAATGCTGTCGCTGCAGATATAAAAAAAGAAAGTGATAACCGACGAGCGGTGCAAGGTTAGTTTTACATCAAAATGACTTCATTTTGCTTATATTCGTTTACCATAGAGTATCATCTCAAACAGCTGTAGTTTTTTCGTGTTTTACTGTATGCTCAAAAGTTATTTCATGAGTAATATACCTGGAATCGAGGTACAAGAACAACACATCTGTGCTGAAACCTGAAAATAGCTGTAGCATCTTCAAACTCATTAACTCAGAGGTAGGTGGGGTACAGTTCACTTTCGGGGTAGCAGATGAAAAAGCTGAATTAGTTATTTAGGTTGTAAGTTAAACCGGAGACCAGATGGTGGTTTAGATACAAAGGTTCACAGAAATCCATCGCATCCTAATAGACATGTAAACTTTGGGTCATCTCGACTAACATCGGTAAAGGTGGGTTTAATTAAATGTTGGAGTAGTTGAACCGGGAGCCTATCCAGTAATGAAAATGAAATAAGAAAGAAAACAGACGCTTCACTTTTTAACAATTAGCCTCTCAAATTTATCCTCTGACAGGTTCTGGAACACAGGCATCCGACGCTTGCTATATTTCTTGACCTGAAGGTAGCATTTGGCTCTGTCGACCGTGAGGTGTTGTGACAGTGTCCAACTGAAAGAAGTACCGAGAAAGTATATAACGCTAATCAAAGCTCTCCATTCGAACTCATGCAGCCATATCAGGGCTTATAGAGAGTGAACATGTGAATTGACGACAAATAGTGGTGTCCGCCAGGGATTTTCAGTCACCGTTCCTATTTAACTTCGTCATGGATGTACTAATAGAAATGACAAGTGCGCCTGGCTTCCCAGGGACTGATCTACTCCCTATAGGCTATCTAGTTGGTGACATTGTCCTGCTATGTAAAAACACTGACAAAATGCAGGGTCTTTTGAACACGTTGAGCAGAAATCTGTTAGGTGTTTGCCTTCAGTTTATCAGCTTCTGTCCAACTTATGACATCATAACAGGCCTCTGTCTTATTCTTCCTAAAACTTTGATTTCATGTCGTCCAATTGTTTTCTAAGAAACTCTGACAGATAAACAAATCAACGTAGAACCTGATGAGTCTGAGTGTTGTGTAGTGGACTGTTTTAATAGATCTATAAACTAGAATTAGGCCTTTAATATCATGAATATTGCCCTTCTGTTTTCGGTCACTACCTCGACGCACCATGCTAAAGGAAGTTAGATTAGGTTGGAAGAGGATTCAGGGTGGCCAAACTAAGATGTGGCTGCAGTCGATAAAGTCTCTGAATATTAGTCTGAGTCGTTTGGGGCGATGTAGACTTCCTAGTTGGTGTTCTCAAGACGGAAGGAATTAGTGGTTGGGGACTTAATGACATGGCTTTATTGCAAATCTCGTCCTTCTTGCCTTATCTAAATAAAAGTAACCGACAGAATTAACAACTGCAGAATAATATGATTGCAGTCACTGCAAAGGAATAAATGCATAGACACCTACTCTTACCAATCGATAACGTGAAAATGAAATGCTAACTAGGTCAGTATAGGAATAAGGTTTATGTGGGGTACATGAAAACGCGTTTTCTCACTTTGCGAATGGTTTGTGTATTCATATAATTAGATTTCCTACCAAGTATTTTTTATTCAATGCATAATTTAAAATTTAATCACATCCTATTTCTAGCAACAGAACTCACAGAAGAAGAAAAAAATGCCATTATGCGGTCAGATAAATTTAACCGCTTCTTTAATAAAGCTTCACGACTGATTGAACGAGCATTAGAAGAACCAACTGATATCTTTGTCGATTACAGTGGTGACGATCATGATGACGCTGGGTAGGTAGTGCTTTCTACAATTTGTTCTCAAAATGTTTCACCACATTTATCACTTCTACGACGTATTTAAATTAAATTTTTGGTATAGTTGAAACCTGTACTTAGTTTAATGCTCACTTATTGTATATTTTTAACCATTATGGTGTAATGAATATGAGATCTAGTACATGGATCAAAGTTGATTGGGGCCAGTCAGCATAGCCGGAGTACAAAAGCTTCAAGAAACGAGATGATTGACCCTGCTAAGATGAGTAATTTTGGGAAAAAATAGAAGATAACCGAATGCACTGATTCGTATCACACCATGGGATGGAGCGACAATTTTAAAATCGAACATAGCTAGATGGCGAGGGAAATTGATTACAGAGTCAACACCTAATATAAATAAGAAGAATGATTCATCTCAGATACTTGGGAAATCTTACCACCATTAAAATGAAAGTTTGAAGAACTGTTGAACTTTAAAAAGGAAGTTTGAAAGTTGTATGCTTACCTTCATATAATTATGAGCAATAAATTTTGCCTGAAGCTTCATCCAGCAAGTTATATTTTATCACCGTGTACTAAATCAAGTAAACAATCTAATATGAAGTGTTATGTGGTTAATTAGTTTTTAGTACTCCTTTGTCTAATATATATATATATATATATATATATATATATATATATATATATATATATATATATATATATATATATATATATAATGTAACTCGACTCGGTACATGTTTATGCACCAGGCTATAACCCACACTTATTTGAAGGCTTATGAAACTACCCGGTTGCCCAAGTGAAAGTTAGTGTTAGACTAAGTCCCAAGGTAAGTTATTTACAGCAAGAAAACGGAGCTTGTTCAATATGATAAAATAACTTATGTAGTTCAGCAGCAAGTAGAAATTAAATGATGATCCTAATATTTAATGCTCATTCACTGTAAACTATGGGAACTTGAGTAAATCAAAAATGCGTTTTATTATTGAGTTTTACGTCGGACGGAAATGACAATGTAGAACAAAAGCTGATCTGTTCTATGCTACTCTTTGGGCGACAGGATGTTTTTGTTCCCGAGTGTAGTGATCGGTTAGCTAATATCACTTTAAGAAGTCGAATCATATTTGATGCAGTAGTGGTCCTGGGTTGTGGGAGTTTACTACGCTGCAGTAACTAGGTTCAGGTTCGAGTACTAGGCTATGAATCAGAATTGCTGAATGGCATTATCTTATTTGTTAGTTGAGTCTGTCAGCATTTAAGAAAGAGCTGTGTCGAATATCAGGATGATTTATTCCACAAACTATTTTCAGCTAAGCGAAAGCCAAGGTAGCCCAAACGTTGTTTCACTCTTTCACACACCGGTCTAGTTTTTGCTGTTTAAAATTGACCTCATCGAACTTGGCTCTATAAATACTTCCGGAGCTACTCAAATGCACTAGCGTCTTGACTAGTTCCAATGGTTCACAGTCAACAGTGAGTGCAGATACTGACTCCTGTCAGTCTTGTGAAAGTAATTATACTTCGGTAATCATAAGTACGTGCGATACTTACGTGTAATTAACGTAAATTGATAAACTATGATTTAACTAACCTATTTGCTGTCAAGTAGTAAGGTTATGGTAAGTTCATGCTCAAAGCTGAAAAGGCCTCCAGTTAGGAAATCTACACCCACACCTTATAACTTTCTCAAAAGTATAATCATTGACAAAATTAAAGAAGAATGATTGAATCAAGCAATTTAATCTAATTTTACTTTTGATTTAGAGCAAACTTGAGATGCTTTTATGTAATTTTGAAGATGTTAATTAATTTCTCAGGGACATTTCTACAGACAACTTCAGAACGCAGTCATGTTCAGTGAACTAAATACAGGAGTGATGTCAATCAACAGAGTTTGTTTTTCTGCAATAAATGTAACGACACTCGAATATTTGGTGAAGGAAGAACATACATCCACAATGAGTTTCTCACATGCTAACGTAGCCTGAAAGTATGACAGCAGTTAAAACTTTATAGTCAACTACCAGTCTTCGTATACATTCAACTTTTAGTCCTCTTGATAAATTTAAAAAACTTATTAAGAAAATGGAGATCGTCTGAAACTTGTGTTAGCGCTATACATTTCAAACAATCTGACCAAGCATGAACTTCTCGAATAATGTACTTAAATACTGAGAACGCATGTAAAACCTCATTTACTTAGTTGGTAAATGGAGAATATAAAATCTGAAAGGGTGATCTTTGGACTTAGGTGACGCAATGATAACACCTCAGCGGTTTGATACTACATTATTGGAGTTTATTTCGGAATGGTACTGTAATTAAGAGTGTAACTTAAGTAATAACAAATAACCTTTGGTTGTTACACTTTTGTGGAGGAATTCGCAGATTTTATTAGTATGGTCAAGATTGGAGACCAACAAGGATTAGCACTAAGAAATTCTATTACAAGTACAATCTAAGACAAAAGCTCACTCATTTGAAAAAATAAGTTAGCCAGATGATTAGATTTTTTATTACAAAAAATCATTCCAAAGGACAGAAGAAACTCATCAAACAGGAGTTATAAGTATAAGATGTGAAGTAAAACTCACAAACACGGTATGAAAAATGTCAGTGTCACAAATGGAATGCGAAAACAGTAGAAGTGATTTTCACAGGTGACGTGGTAATATATTCAACAGAGTCGTTCACAGAACCCTACTGGTATCATGAGGATGGATTTCTGAGATGCAGCCTACACGGAGAGTCAATCTCTCCGGTGTTCTATCCATACCGGTCTATTTTCTGATGTGTATCAATGTGCGAACTTTGCTTATTCGGAGCTGTAGCCCATAGATTGAGACAATCAATTTCCACTCAGTGAGTCACGAGTTTTAATCTCGGTTCATGTACTGAGATTTTGGTAACCAAATAGTATCACTAACCACCACATAGTTGGAGAATAGGACAGCTTTGAGGAGGATACTGCTCAACCACTCAAGACAACTTAAGCGTGCCAAAACTTTGAACAGTGGTTAGCTGTTCTATAAGATCGCCTTAAAGATGTTAGATCCAATAGTGAAACAAAAGTGTGCATGTATAAATGCAAAAAATAGTCGAAGGTTGATATATTAGTTCTTGTTGGTTTGGTAATATTCTCCATGTGACTTTTACCAGTGCTATGTTGCATGCTCTCTACCAGAAAATTCTTGTTTATTGTCGTCGTATGATCGGTGTTTCTTATAACTGCCATAATGCAAAGTGGGCTTTCGGCGATGGATAAGCACATAGTTCACTCAGTAGAGTTCGAGGGTTTCGGTTCGAAAATAATGTAATACAGATCTAGTGACCTAAAGAAGTAAATATCGTACAAGAAAAATATCGATAACCAGTCACTATACCAATAAACCTATGAAGGATATTCTTCTGTCTTTCAAAGTTAACTGTAACCACGGGATTCCGAAAGATTTTATCTTTAAAACAGCGACCTGCTTCATTATAGTTGTTGGGCACCTACTTCACTTATCGAGGTTAAAGCAACCAGATAGTGTCGTTAATTCTTACAAATCAAGTCTAGCTTGCAGTTTATTACACAAACCTTTTTGTAATCATTAAGTCAAATATATTCATCATTCGCTTCAGTAGGTATCACATACTGACCATTTAGGATTTTTAACCTACTTCTAGAAATACTCAACGGCATCAGCTCGTGAGATTCGGCCGTGATTTTTATGATGAGCGTTGGTCAAGGGGACGTTTAGTCACAGCATTGGATTGGTCACCTGTTTTTCCTGAATTACTTCTTGGAGCCTATCATTTGAATGATGAAACACCTCATGACCCTGATGGAGTATGCTTAATATGGAATCTTAAATTCCAAAAGAATACACCAGAGTATATTTTTCATTGCCCATCGGCTGTCACATCAGCAACTCTTGCAACTTATCATCCAAACTTGGTTATTGGTGGAACGTATTCTGGACAGATTGTATTGTGGGATAATAGGTAAGTTTTTCATTTTCCGTTTAGACTTTACTAGTGGGTTGAGTTTTGTTAGAGTTGCAAACGTAACGTCACGCTGACAAATACGTCAGGAAATAACTGATCCTAAAATTTGTAAATGCGCTATCTGGATGTAGTAAGGACATTAAGAAATATCGAGAGTATGGAATCTTCCAAGAAGTTTCCGGAATTAGAACATAATTTTCACAAAAAATGGACTTCTAAAGACCCAGAAGTGACAGCAGTAAGGTGTTCTCCTTTGATGACCAGCAGTGCCACGCTGATGCTATTTTCCCAACAGGAAGAGAGGGTTATAAAAAGGTCATCCCCAAAAATAGCACACTCCACCTGCCCCACTGTCTCCTGGCGCTGGCGGTATGGGTCCTTTCTATACGGCGTTATAACAACCAAACCTCATAACAACAACTTACAGAGGGCCGCGTGTGACAGGCCTCAAGCAGATGTCCTATGAGTTCTGTGGTCACAGATATCTTTTCCTCTCCCAGGTACCTTACGAGAAAATAGCCTTCCACGATGTCGGCAGCCGGGAAGTGTCAATCGCCCACACCCTTCCAGCAGTACACAAAACCCAATCAAATACAACCTATCCTCCTCAACTCTGTCTCCTCCTTCGGCTTCACCTTCTAGTACTAATATCAAGCCTCTTACACCTTACTCAACCTCTCACTCTGCAACCATTGTCAACCATCATAGAAATCGAAACTTCATTCCTAGTCTCCTAAGACCCTGCCATCGACGTCATGCAGGAGCTTACAACGTCCTAACTGTATGCCTAATCGTACAGCAAGTATTGGCCACCAGAATTCTGGAATCTCTAGACATGAATGTATGTTGTGTCTCTGAGACACGTATACAAGACTCGAGTAAGGTTATTAAATTGGTATCACCTGACCGTAGTTGTGAATCTTTAAAATTTACTCTAAGAGTATTCGGAGACCCGATGGGTAGCTCTCGTGGACTCGCTGGTGTAGGCAAAGCATTGAGTTGTAGAGTAGAAATTGTGTTTCTTCACTTGATACCAGTCGACGACCATCAATGTGCTGTTTGACTGAATGGATCTATAAGGTCTAGGAAGGATCGTGAGACTAGGCGATACCTATTTTTAATCTCCACCTACGCACCCACGGAGTGTAGTTCGGATTGGATGATGCAAAGGGTGAATTCTATGAGAAGCTGTCAACATTGCTACAGATGCCCTATGGTGAGATATCCGGCAAGCTGTACTCGTCCAGTGATGTCCGTCATGGTTGCCCACTGTCTCCATTCTTATTCAGTTTCATCTTATTTTTATGGAGGTCTCCCTCTCGTCACCTGACTACTCAGAAGTTGACATAATCGCGGGAGAATTTTCGTTAGACCTAGAATACGCAGATGACATAGTCCTGTTAGGTGAAGACGCTGAACACGTTGAGTGGGAATTTGAGAATGTTTGGTATGCGATTTTCACCACCCAAATGCAAATTTTTGCTCCACGATTGGTCTTCAACAGTGCCTTGGCTAAGAATAGAGTGTAGTGGTTGAGTGTGCCGACCACTTCACTTACCTGGGAAGTAGGATCAGCCCTAGTGGCTCAGTGGTTGACGAAATTTCTGCACGGATACAAAAGGCTACGTTGGCTTTTGCCAACTTACGCCACCTGTGGCGCCGCCGTGATATCCAATTCCCTATTAACGTTCGCGTGTACTGCACAGCAGTCCACTCTATTCTACTGTATGACTGTGAAACATGGCCATTGAAGGTGGAAGACATGAGAAGGCTTCAGATGTTTGACCACCTTTGCCTTCGTAGTATAGGCCGTATTCCCTGGTGTCACCACGTGAGTGATGCAGAAGTCAAGTGTAGAGTTTTAGGGAGAAGAGGTAAATCAGTTGACACGGTTGTGGACCTTCATCGACTGAGACGGTTGGGATACGTGTTACGTATGCCTAGTCACCGATTGCCCTGCCACACAATGTTGGCGGTTCAAGCTGAAAAAAGGCCCGAGGCGGCCAGACTAAAACATGGCATCAGTGTATGAAGTCTTTGATTGTTGGTTTGAGCCATGTAGACAGATGCTGACTATTCGGTTAGGGCCCGCAGGACAAGAAAAACCAGTGGTTGGAGACTCCAGGTGGTGACTCAGAACCGATGTCAGTGGCGCAGACGTATACGCACATTATCCTCATCTTAACGCTTTGCCGAATCTCACCCATTTTCTCATTCTTCCTTTCTTTCTTTGCGTACTTTATACTTCTTTTGACTGAATTTTCTTTTTTTTCATCTTCCATTCCACTGGCTTTTTACTTGATGTACTGATATGAGGACCGTTAATGCAGTAATACCCGGTCCCATGTTGATAGATGATGATGCTTTTGACCAGCATAAGGAGATGACAGTCACACATGGCGTCCACCGACCTCAAACCAATGATAGACACAGATAGATCATATTGTTATGAGTCATCATTGGAAAGGATTGGCGGAGGATTGTCGCCCTTTCCGTAGCACCTGTGAGAACTCCGATCAGGCGCTATTACAGTCTCGTATATCTGCATCTTACTGGCTGCAGGAAACAGGCGATAGTAAAGCATGTCTATGCCTGACTAGTAGATGAGAAGGCCAAGTACCTAGTTAGAGAGGAGTTAGCTAAGCACTTATCTGAACGTGACAGCAATGCTCATTCTGAGGAGACCTGGCTTGATATTAAGTCTACTGTAGAAACAACGGTAAACACACTTGGTAACCTACACATGGAGGTTAGCAAATGTAATTGGATTTCCGCGACGTCATCCGAACTGATTGATGTGAGAAGACTGGTTCCATCTGGCTTTGACCACGATGAAGACCGAAGGCAAATCCAACGTAAGTTGAAAGAGTCTTCGTGTCGGTCGCGAGCAGTGGTGGTGGGTGACAAAGGCAAGAGAGATGGAGAAGGCATCAGTGTTGATGAATACTTGGCAGTCATTTATAGGTATATTAAGGATACTGGCAAGAAGAGGATGGTGAGTGAAACTACCACCGATGAAGGATGGGATGCTGATAACCTCCTCGGAAAGACCACTAGAACGTTAGCCAGGATACTTTGAAGTATAGTTGAACTGGTTCTCGGCAACGCTTCTGTCGCTTAATATCTAGCCAGTCGGAACGTAGATTTCGGTTCTCTAACTCTGCTTGAAGTTGAGAAAGCTGAGTCGAACTTAAAACGATGGAAAGCAGCGGGACCTGATAGTTTGCCACTAGAAGTTTTGAATATTTACTACTACGATCAGGTGATACCAATTTAATAACCTTACTCGAGTCTTGTATACGTGTCTCAGAGACACAACATACATTCATGTCTAGAGATTCCAGAATTCTGGTGGCCAATACTTGCTGTACGATTAGGCATACAGTTAGGACGTTGTAAGCTCCTGCATGACGTCGATGGCAGGGTCTTAGGAGACTAGGAATGAAGTTTCGATTTCTATGATGGTTGACAATGGTTGCAGAGTGAGAGGTTGAGTAAGGTGTAAGAGGCTTGATATTAGTACTAGAAGGTGAAGCCGAAGGAGGAGACAGAGTTGAGGAGGATAGGTTGTATTTGATTGGGTTTTGTGTACTGCTGGAAGGGTGTGGGCGATTGACACTTCCCGGCTGCTGACACCGGGACACAAACAGCGGGGGTCGACACTGACCATATTTCTTGACCTAAGGGCGGCATTCGACTTTATCGACTGTGAGTAGTGGCGGTATCTGGCTGTAAAAGAGTGCAGAGCAAGGATGATGCCAATCATAGCTTTCTACTCGAACTCATGCAGCCATGTCAGGGTTAATGGAGAGTTTTCATGTGATTTGACGACAACTAGTGGTGTCTGGCAGGGACTCATTTTCACAGTTCCTATTTAACTTTGTTATAAACGTACTAATGAACATATCTCTTAGGCACTTCTGACTTCACAGGGATTGATGTACTCCTTGGGATTCGTCTGGTTGACCTGGACTATGCAGACGACATTGTCCTGCTTGGTGGAGACGCTGACAAAAGACGCAGGGCCTTCTCAACGTGTTGAGCAGAGATATGAGCATGTTTGGGATGTATTTCACTGGCACCTGTCAAATTTAAGATGGTGCTCTACGACTAACCTGCTGCAAGTACTCCCAGTTTAATGGTAGGGAGTGAAGTGGTGGAATGTGTCGACCACCTGACTTACTTGAGGAGTTGCATCAGCCGGGACGGGCTGGATACTGACGAAATCCCAACTCGGATACAAAAGACCCATTTAGCATTTGCTAACTTGCATCACCTGTGGCGCCTACTGGCGAGATATCTGACTATCTATCGAACGACAGGTGTACTGTGCTGCAGTCCGTTCTGTCCTGTTGTATGGCTGAGACATAGGCATTAAAAGTAGAAGACATGAAGCGGTTAGAAGGTTTTTATCATGGATGTTTTCGTAGCATTGTTCGCGTTTGTTGGAATCACCGTGTGAGCAATGCTGAAGTCAGGAGAAGTGTACCAGACAAGACAGGCAAGTCGATTGATGAGGTCGTGAACCTTAACCTTAGTCGACTGAGATGGCTTGGGTATTTGGACTAGGTTGGAAGAAGGTTCACAGTGACCCAACAAAGACGTGCAGCGTGTGCGACCAGTTGATGAAGTCTCTGACTTTCTGTCTGTGTCGTGTGGGTCGATGTAGACTGCCTGGTTGGGATGGCTGAGACGAAAGGAATAAGTGGTTGAGGTCTCTTAGCGATGTGACTGAAAATTGGTCCCAGTAGTGCAGATGTATTCACTCCTTCGCATCTTCTAAAGGTTGAATATTCGCACTAACCTTTATCTTCAAACTTCTTCTTCTGCCACACAACTTTTTCCACTTTGATATCACATTATGTCAAGCAATTCTTTGGTACTGTGAAATGTGGCAACGTGAGCCGATGCACCTTTATGCAAGGTTTTATCATTCAGTCATAAGCACTGTAGTACTTTCCAATTGACTAGCCCATTCTTAATTCTGCGAAGTTGTAAGTTTGCACATCTCAATCATCGAAAGGTGAAAAGATGCTATAGTATAATAAGGAAACTTCTAGGGGCTGCATTCACTTTTGGTATGCCATACCAGAGGAAGTATTTATAAGCATTAGAACTTCAGCTTCGATGATGTATTCGCGCTTAACAGATTAATCCACAATCTGGAGACTATTAAGTTTTTATTATTAGATGTTTTAAAACTTTTTAAATCTGTTATCAATTCTATGGTAGTGTTTAGTTTTGGTTGAACACATCGTATTAGCCAGTTTAGCAACAATGAGATCTAATTATGTGGATATTTACCCGCGAATGGTATGAAAGTAAAAATTTCTTATCAAATTTGTTTCCCCCATTAAAAAGCCACTATTGTATTTGTAAAAAAAATGCCAGTTGGAATTGTGAATGTAAGTTGTTATCAGTTTTTGCTCATTTACCTCATATTTTATGAAGCCTTTTTATGTTTGTATTGAATTTTTCAGGGCAACTAGACGAATGCCAGTACAACGAAGTCCACTATCTGCAACTGCACATACACATCCAGTCCATGCGGTTATGATTTCAGGAACAATGAACTCACACAGTTTATTGAGTATCAGTTCCGATGGTAGATTATGTACATGGAGTTTAGATATGTTGAGCCAACCTCAGCAATCTATGGAATTAACGCACAGACAAGCGCGTACTGTAGCCGCAACCTGCATGTCTTTTGTAGACGAAAATGTTAACAACTTTGTAGTTGGTTCTGAAGATGGACGAGCGTACATCGGTTCACGCTGTGGAAAGTAAGTTTAAGAGTTGTTGCAGTTTTAATATAGTATTTTGGAAACAAATATTAATATTTAGTTGAGTCGAATTTCGGGAATGTTTTGTTTTTATCCTTATAATGTGAGGATGAAACTACTAAAAACTGGTTAGTTTGTGTTTCATATGACTCTTTTAAGAAATAATCTAAGATGAAATACTCTGAATCTCTTTATCCATAGCTTCCTCCAAGTCTTATCATCTGTTTGTACCTATATAAATGTATGAGAAGCTTTCTGTCATAGTCTCAGTCTTTAATAACTGTTCACTCTGAATATGAATTTAGTATTTTTCCAGTTTTAATCAAGTAAAGTTGGTGTCCGACTCAACTACACTTCGTAGAAGATTTTTTGAACAGGAAATTCCTGCCTTGTGTATGCTTGTAAGAAATATCCAATATGCATAGAAGAGATCAGGAAAAAATCCCCTCTTGAAATTTCGTAAGCAAGCTATGTTGTTAGGGTCTAACTAGATAAACTGTCTGATTACTAGTTTTCGAAGCTCAATATGATACGCTGCAGATATTCAAAGTTGGTAGAAATAAGAAGAATAAACGAAGAAAATTCCAGCCGATCTGCCGATTCTATGATTTGTGTGCAAATTTGTCAACTCTAGCAAAAACTTAAAATGATATTCTTGTGTAAACCATGAAACAGTTGTATTCACTGTCTAACTTTCCTTGTAAGGTTAAGCACTGGAACTTGAAAATTGATTGCTTCCTACATTATATCTCTTCACTCTTTCTGCTGTTATATTGTGTTTAGTGAGTGACCACTCATATTGATGTGTTTAACGGGGTCGTAAGTGGCATTAACTCGCGATGGTGCAAGCATTGATTACTAAAAGTAAGAAGCTTATCTCAATCATCTCACAACTATCGTTGACATTATCATACTTTGACTTGGTATTACAAACAAATTACTTATTGAATAGAAATGAAGAATTTCATTTTAAAATCTCTAAAGTTTATAAGTATGTAGCAGGTATGCTAATACTATTTTAGATTGCATTATTTAGCAGCGAAATAGAAATCACTATGTAGCATAATGACTTTGTATTCAACTGATAATCTTGTCACTGTAACCGTAGGTAGCATGAGTGTGCAAACTTAATTCATCTTTTACCTGTTGTGTAATATAAAACTTGTCACCCTACTATATAACACTAATGTCTCACACTGTAGTAGCGATAAATATCACACAAAACATCATGAAAAAAGTGGTTTTAAAGTATGACTAACGACGGCGCTTTTGATACCTAGATAATGCATGAATATAAAGCAATGTAGCAACCAATGTTGCATGCCGATTTGAGTACTGAGCTATAATTCATACGTAATGTGTGGGTTAGTGTTACTCCGTGACTAACGAAACTTCATCAAGTGGCGCAGAAGTCGAAGTATAGTATCCTAACCAGTGTGACTTCATGATTATTTGCTGGTTTTATATCAATGACTACTTTTCAGGGCATCGGATAAGATCAATACGACAGATGTGGTTATTTTTACCAAAGAGTAATCATTATGGAAAGACAACTTTTTGCACCAAATGCCGTTGTTTCTGTGAGAATTCTCTGCATGAATCAGACAAAAAAAAATAAGTAGATCACTGTAATTCAATAGTTTTGAAGTCATATGTAAGCACGTGGAAAATCAATTGATCATGCACTCTCTCGGAAGAACGTACAATTCGCAATAGCAACACAAATAGTTGTCACAAGTTATATGGATAATGAAACTACCTGTACATGCTGAAATAAAATAAGCAAACCTTACAACTAGCTTATGCTCATTTTGACGTAATATGAAGAGGCTGTCCTGTGTAATTCAGCTAATATAATGCAAAATGCATACAGAGAGGTATTATTTCCCTTCATGTAAATACTGATTCCACTTCTACAGTAAGGTCATGAAACATATGGAATCGGATGAGTCTAATCAGTGTCATCAATCAAGGTATTTATGATCGAGTTGTAAAAGTTACAATTCTTTTCAGTGACTTTGTAGACAACATGCCATCACTTCTTCTCTTCTCAAATTATTAATTCAAAGCTTATTGTATTTACATTATTCTAGTGAATAGTGTTGCAGAGACGCACACCTTATAAAGATTTGTAGAATAATGTTGCCATTTCGATAACTGCTTTTTAAAAAATGATTCGTTCCGATACGGAATTATGCTAATTCTTATACTGTGTACATCTGTTATGACACAGTGGTTCAAGATCCATTTGGATTATTAGGGTCCAATTAATGATCATGAATTTTTGACATTCTGCTTATTTTACAGCCAAGAGTTATCCTTATTAGGCGACTATCGTCGATGTTAGTAACCAGTTAATTTTATATTCCTATAGTTTTAACGGCAAACTGGACTTGAAAGTTTTTACATAGTTTGGTTGGATAAAGGCAACAAACTTCAAAAAGGGCAATCAGTTTGCTAATTACTCATAGACTACCCAGTTCACATTTGGACTTTTCATAGCTGAGTAGTTTCCCAACTGTTTTGTGAATAGAACTTCCGTCAGAAATCATCCAGCTAAAATCACAAGCTATGGCATCTGATACAAAACTGTCATGGATTAACGAGACATATTGCTAAAGTACACAAATGGTTAAAATCGCTTCAAACTGATCTTCAGATTTCTCCAACTTCATTTTTATTTGAAAGTGTTTGCCAGGGTTTATCCCTGGTAAACTTATCAGTTATTTGGAGTAGACATCATATACTTAATTTTCACGTGTAATGAGAGCGAATGTTTTTCACTTAAGTACCACAAATATTTACTTTCCAAATTCTATCTCTTACTATCAATTTATTTTACTTGAAAGATGATAGGTGTGAAAGTGAATGGTAGACTAGACAAGGTTTGAATCAAGCCCAAGTGTGACCGAACAAAAAACTCGAAATTTATTCATACAGTAATACTTAGTTTGTAGTTCATAGAGAATTTTATTTTACTTTGTGTAACATACAACAGATATAATGTCTCGTGTCAACTAACATGAAGTGCGGTGATTTATTTTTTGCAGTCAAGCTGGCATAACTGAAGTTTTCGAAGGTCATCAGGCTCCTATCACATCAATTTCATCCCATCCACTTAGACACTCTGTAACTTCTACGTCGCTGTTTCTTACCACCTCTCTTGATTGGTCCGTAAAGTTGTGGTCTGTTAAAGAAAACCGTCTTATATGTTCATTTGAAGAAGCCTCCGATTACGTTTTCGATGCTCATTGGTCACCCCTGCATCCAGCTGTATTCGCTACTGTAGATTGCACAGGACGTCTTGACTTATGGAACTTGAATCAGAATAGTGAGGTAAATTCTCATTCTTCTAAATAAGTATTTGCAGTCTGTAAACTGTGCCTACACTTTTAGAATTGTGCGTTATTTTGTAAACACCACCCCAGAGCATTACCATATGAATTTTCGTATGTATAGAATTACTTCATCAACCAGTGATCTAAGGTAATTGATAACTAAATTTTTAGGTCTCTTCTACGAACTACAGAATCACTAGGAATAAAGCTATGCCACACATTCGTTCCATTCCCTATCGGGTGCTTTACAGCTATGTTCCGATATTTTATAGGTTTTAATAATTCCCTAAAGGGGTTTGCCATTTGTGGTGATAACTATAGAGCTGTAGCTCAGTGGTTTAAGAAGATGACTATCAGCTATTGGGTCACTGGTTTGAGCCATACCCCACCTATCGAGGTCTGGGCAGGCAGGTAGTATCACTAACCCCCACACAATAGGTGTAGCTCATTACCTACTGCACGAATGTGCGCAAGGTTGCTGAATGCATTTCGATTTGAATGAGTTAACACCATCGGTTTAGTAGCGCAAAGAATCCATCAGTACATGAAAAAGAACTAAAATGCTTCGAAATGAGTTGAGTAATAGTGCTCAGTCATTTGAAAGCAATTTCATAAAGTCAGTTTCACAATCACTTATTCGTTCTTGCAAAGCATATTTCAATCTCGGTAGTCGGGGGTGGGTGTTAAATCACCAGCCTGATCAATTTCCGATACATTCACTGGAGTGTAACTATTCTCATGTTGTTTCGGCCTAAGTGCTGATTGAATTCTGTCGATCGTTTTTGGTGTGGTAACTAAGCAAGAAGACCAGTCATAACCGTGCATTTAAATTGGTGCTCCTAGGTTGTTGGACTTGATTAACAGGCAGTCCCGGACCTGTCACTCGCCATTTCCTTTACAGCAACAGATATGTCTGAGGCTTCAGTCTGGTGTGTGTGGCTGATTGTTCATATTGCGCTACATATGCCGCAGAAAATGAATAGGTGTATCACTTGAGATGCACACAATATACATATAGAAAATGATGATTTCAAATTAGTTAACGCAACAACAGGACGCTTAGATCGCTTTCAGTAAAGTGAAACAGATAGATGTCACTGTAAATTTCTAAAGTCTGACTGAAATTAGTTTACTTCTCTAAGTTTAAACATTATACTGAATGCTATCGATATTCAAAGTGTGCCATTACGTTAACATGGTGACTGAATTTTAGAAAAGCAACATTTGCTGTCTGATTCGTACCAGGTGGAATAGAATCACACCAACTGATTGACCGATCCCAAACACAAGCAAAGTTCAAACCTAACCGTGCGTGTATTAACCTGAATTCTAGCTCCCACATTGTCCTCGAACAAATGCATACATACCATGTCACGACAATAGGTGTATTTCTAAACTTGAAGGTGGCATTTGACTACGTCAACCGACAAAACTTAGCTTTCTGTCAAATCACAATGAGGAGCAAAAACAGGTTAAAAGTCTACGCGATAATCATGAGCAGTGGTAGGTGGCTAAGGAGATGGGAAAAACAGTACTGATAAGTAACAACAAGAAGCCAGTTGTTTAGAATTATTAAAGGAACTTAGGGGGAAAACCAGTGATTAGTAAAAAATATGGAGGAGGAAAATTAGCCTCCGATTCACTAACAGGTTAGATAACCTGAAAGATGGACAAAACACTTTGAAAAACAGTCCTACTGATTTCCAGCTAACGATTGGTTGCCTACTATACTTATCGATTGACTTTTTCACAAAAACCCCTTAGTTGAGTACAAGTACACCGATGACATATTCTTATTACGCAAAGATCCTGACAAGATGCAGTGTCTACTGGAAACCTTGAGTCCAATTTAAGAATGGTTAAGATGCGTTTTTCACTACGCGAATTGTGTTCTAGGACAGGTTTGCGTCGGTTTCTTGTTTAACAATAAATAAGTGGTTGAGCACGTCAACCAACTCACTGATTTGGGAAGTGAGTTCAGTCCCGATGATCCAGTATAGGCGATATCTATATATGACTACAAAAAGCTTGATTGGCGTTTGCCGATTTACACTGTGTTACCAACGGGATATACGATCCCCTACTAAGAATGGAATTTACTACGCAGCAGTTAGCTCACCGCGTTTTGTAGAAGCACCACGTTAGTAATGTAGCAGTTTAGGCTTAGAGTTTTAAATGAAGTGGGTCAGCTGGTGAGGTTGTTGTGAACCTTCATTGACTCAGTTGATTGAGACATGTTATGCATGCCTAGTCACAGTCTATTCAGTCGCGCAGTGGCTGAAGTAGGTTTAGACTAAGAAGTTGAAAGTGATCGGAGCAAAGGATAGTATCAGATCACAAAGTGTGTTGAGTAGTAGGTTTGCTGTTTGGTATCCTGATAACTACCGAAACGAATTATTTTAGACTCTAGGTGATATTACTCAGAATCGACCTTAGTGGTGCAGATGTATCTGCACATTATCTTCATCTTAATCATCATATCACACTTTTTTTTACTCCACTCCCTCCTATCTTCCACTGAAAAACACCAATAGTGTTTCACTGTCAGCGTTCTTGTTTGACTTCCTTATAGATGTATCAATGGACATAACCTTAGGTATGTCTGACTTTACAGGAATATGGCTACTCTTTGAAGACCTGTTGATTGGGGCAGGCGAATTACTGACAGCATGCAGAGTTTTCTGTAGTCCTCGGTCGGGAATCTAAGTATGCTTGGTTAGCATACGTTTCGCAAGATGGTACTTCAGGACAGGTCTGCACTGATTGTTGCTCTATAGTTAGTGAATTGTTAGTATGGCGGTATATCCAACTGCCCATTAAAAGATGAGTCTTCTGCACTGCAGTCTGCTCTGTTCAATTATATCGTTGTGAGACCGCTGTCGAAAGTAGAAGACATTATGAGACTACAGATTTTTACCACAAATGCCTTCGTTTCTCTTTTCTACCTGTTCTAGTGCGGGAGCCCCTGCATATTTCTTCTTCCTGTCCTTCGCCGTGAAGATCCTAGCCAGACATGTACGCAGGCCCGCTCAGATCTATTCATAAAAACTGCGCGGACAGTACCAAATCGTCGGTCACTTTTTTCGCGTGATATCTAGCTTATTTATATGCTGGACGTACACTACCGAATTATATACGTAGTTAGAAACCACTGATACTGATCTGTAGACTTCATTAACGAGATTAGAGTCATCTAAGCACTGAATTCTTCCCAGTTTTTGCTTTTCGCATAAAGAAGTGGGCTTCCGATGCATCGTTGGTTTAAGACTGTGTTCAACACTAATACACTTTCGCTTGTCAAGATTAACAGACATCAATGCTCTGCTTTGGAAGTGCTTGTTTTTTCTATGGTTAATTGAGTAATGAATTGTGACTAGAAGTATGATTTTTAATGTCACTGTAAAATTGACTAGACAAGTTTTCTCCAGCTGTTACAAGTTAGTCTGTGGTTAAACATTATGAATATTTCGATTTGTGGAACTGTAAGCGTCTATCAAATCATAAGGACCACTCTGCATAAAATTATTTTTGCGACATTATTAGTTAGCTCAGTGTAGAGGAATATGCTGAAGTCACAATGTACGACTTCTGTTTGTCAGTAGTTTATATTTTTCTGAGATTATAAAACATTTTTTTATTCAATTCAGGTTCCATCATTTCGTACTGTAATCCCTGGTCAACCGTCACTGAATAAATGTCGTTTTCATTCATCTGGTTCATATATTGCTGTGGGTGACGATAATGGTCGTATTCACATGTTTGATTTGAACGAAGTAAGTAAGATTCGTTGAACTACTGTGAGTAGATTTAACCTGTGTTTTTGTATATTTTGTTGCACCATTTCAGTGTTTTATGAAATACTAAATACTGTCAGCATAAGATATCATAATCGCTCCATTCAAACCAAGCGATCAATAATAGTCACATTTGTACTTAGGAAATCTTTAAAAATAGGAGAATACTTAGTAAATCAAGGATTTCGCCAGCGAATGGTATTTTAGTTTAAAAAAAGGCAGCTGGTTCTGTTCTTACAGAACGAGAAGTCAACATCTGTTTACTTTTTCCAAACTCGAATCCTTTCCAGAGATTCGCGCAACATAATTTATTCATTCGGCTCATTATTTTGAGGACCATCAGTTTCCTGCATCCTGTTCAGTACATTGTGTAAGTTCGCAGCAATGTTCACATGTAGGGACGCCAGCAGAAGTTACTAGATTCGGAAATCAGATTCTGATAACTGCATACTACTTGATGTGTGGAGTCATTCATGACTAACAAAGCATACTGTGAAATAAACTGATAGTTTCCTGTCACAAATAACCTCACAAACGATTAACGATTTTAAATTTTATCTTTTAGGCTATGGCAACACCTCATCCAGACGAGTGGGCGATGTTTTCGCAAACAGTCAACGAACTTCGACAAACTGCGGCTGAACAGAGAGAGAATGAAAATGATGCTTACTTAGGTCGCTCTCCTGTACCCATCCTTCATTAAACACATTGAAACACTTCTGCTATCTTTATTATTCTCTCTATCTCATAATAAATCTCTCATGATCTTTCGTTTATGTTTTTCATGGGAGTGGTTTGTGGATGCTTATTGATTTCAAGCTGGAAAGAATTGTCATTTTGAAAAATGCAAAACTAAAAAGCTATAGACAGCTGCTGCATCTTAATGAAACTCCTCAGTCGTGTACAGTGTTTCACTTTTCCGACTGACAGCTGCTAACTTGATGTGGTGGTCAGGCTTGTGTATTACAATGGCCCAGCCAGTTATGTTGGTGGAACGCTTGTTCCGTAGAGGTCCTACCATATCAGAAGTCTGTTGGATAGTGGAAAGGTGAAATGCCCTTTGTGGTGACAACCTCTGTGACAAGGATCTGTGGGCGAAGTTCTGCTGCTGGAAAGATGGGGGTTGTGACAGCTGTAAGGTGTTTCCTGTAAATAAATAGCAGCACCGCGCTGGTGCCGTCTTCCGTACAGAGAGGTCGGCCCTAAAAAAGCACATTCCCTTCTTACTCCATGACATACTGGTGCTTGGCATATGGGTTCAAAACTAACAAACAAACTGGAAAGGCCAACCGTAACTGCCCTCGAGCAGATATTCCTTAGGCTTTGTGGTCGAGTACAATCTTCTTTTCACGGTGTGGGAAGCGGTTGGTGTCCATCGCCTTCACAACCCTGTCGGCACTTCGGTTCACATCTTAATCTTCTAATCTTCCTTCACGTCTCTCGATCAACATTCCTACTTCATCTCTAATTTTGTTCCAGCTCCCCACAACGATCTGAGTTCACGGAGCAAGAATCCTATCGAAAACTATCTAGCCTGTTATAACCAAACATTCAGACGTGATTGCAGGTGATTTCAATGCAAAAGTGGGTAAGCTAACTCATGCGGAAAAGTACGTAGTGTGCATTTTTAAATCACATTCAAATGAAGAGATAAGGGTGACCGCGAGTGTGCTCAGCCAATCTACTTCTGGTTAGCACGAACTCCAGGCATAAAGAGAAACAAAGACATCATCTACTGAACTCGACTCAGTGGTGGAAACATAGACCGTTTTGCCATCAGTTATTGATGGGAGATTGCTGTTGCTTCTGGAGTAGGTGTTTGGACGGCGACAACACGTTGGTTCAAAAGTGTATTTTAGTGCCTAAGTAAATGCAGGAAAACTACAGCAGTAAGAGCATTGTGAATATTGCTTGACGATGAGAATACTAAGACGGACTTCCTCAAGGAACTGGCTAGACAGATATCGACATAAGACAGACCGTAGATAACCTTCGGTGGTTAGAAAAGGCCAGTGGATCTTAGCAGCTTATGAATTAATAAATGTGTCCGAACGCATCTCTGCAAGCATAATGAGGAGCAGTAGCAGTAATGAGTAGCAAAAGCTAAAGAGATGAAAGAGGCAACTGTAATGGGTAACATTAGACAGCTACTATTTCGTTGCCTGCTGTTCAGTGGGATCGTGAACGGGACGCTCAGATAGCCCATCGAACTCTTACAGAAGTTGAGAAGGCGGTAAAAAACCTGCAGCGAGGATGGGGAGTAGACTTTGTTGAACTACAATAAGTATTCGAAGATGGAAATCGAGAATCACTAACCGAAGTATCATCTAGTGTATGAGAACTATATATGAACCCGTCTGACTAGTTTCAGTCAGTGATTCTTCCAGTCTTCAAGAAAGAGGAGAAATATTGTTGTGATAAACACAGGAGAATCAACCTGATGAACACTGTGTCTAAGACTCTAGGTCCCATAATTATCAGACGTCTGAGCAGAGCTCGAGAAAAGCAAGCAGGTTTCAGACCTGGTCTTTAGTGTATCGACTAGATATTCACTTCGTCAAGTCCTGGTACACAGACTCATCTATCAACACCCGAAGCTAACTTTATTTGTCGACCTTAAGGTGGCATTCGACTCTGTCGATCGTGAGGTCTGGTGGCAGTGCGTCACCGGAAGGGATGCTTAATAGGTAAGTACATCAGAGTATGAAGCTTTTTCACTCAAACACCGGTGGGCATGTCACAGCATACTGGTGAGATGCACGGCGAGTGATGTTCACCAAGGATGTTCACTCTATATTCCTACGCATTTTCATCATAGATATACTCTTGTAAGTCTCCCTCTCGTCGTCTGACTTCACATCGATTGATTCAATCACAGGGTAGATCCGGAATACGCAGATGACGCAGTCCAGCTAGGTGAAGGCCCTGATTAGATACAGTCTTCTGGGCAACTTAAGTTGGAGTTTGGGATGCGTTTCTCCCGCTTGAATGCAAATTTTGCTTCAGAAACTAGTCTTCACTGGTGCTTTGTTTAACAATATGGAGTGAAATGCTTGAGTGCGATGGAAAGTCGGATTAGACTTGATTGGTCAGTAACCGATGAAATCTCGTCACACATCTTCGTTTTCGCCAGCTTACTCTATATCAGTTTGTTTATTAAGGGTCGAGTGTGCCATTCTGGATTTCGCTCTGTTCTGCTCTACTTTATGGTTTTGACACATACCGATTAAAGGTAGGGGAGAGAAGGTGGCCTCGGGCATTCAATCACCGTTGCCTTCGTAGCATAGGCTGTGTCATGGTATCAACAATGTAAAAGTGAGACGTAAAGTTTTAGAGAGGAGAGGAAATTCAGTCGATGAGGTTTTGCTTCAAACATGTAGACCACACTTCCCCACAATGAATTTACTGCTCCAGTGATAAGTATCTAGTTTTCTACAGCACACATCGTATGAACGTAACTCCTCTTTCCCAAACTACTGCAAAATATGAATTGGTGAGACAAAGGGTGCTGTGCAGAGAACCATCATCCCCCCAGTTGGTATCACAGATATGAAGCGGACTATTCCATACTCACCGCTTTTGTCACATCCATTCTCTAAAATACATGTCAAACATAAAGGCAGTATTCAATCACCATATCAATAAGTGTGATCACTCTTAACGTTTCGAAGTGTGTGGATCGATCGTTGAAGTTTATTTAAATAACAGCACCTCTTGACTGAATCCCTGTAGACAATCACATGTGCAGTGCCCGATGGAATTGTACAGTAAAAACTGGAAAAGATAGCTATATGTACCGATTTCTTCTCGTAAACTATACCGACGCAGAAGAGTATAGGTCCTACCAAAATCTCTAAAAACTACATATAGCCAGTCGTATGAACGCAGAAATCTGAGGCATACAAGGCAAAACCAGGAGGGGAAAAAACTAGCTGATACATTAAGAATCCAAGACCAGTGAACCAATAACTGGGATCATTCCTTATAACTACTCTCACATAACTATCTATTCCTAGCGAGCACTAGATGCAGTCACTCCGAACTATTGGCTATTAGGTCAAACTGAACGGTAAGAACACATGGTATTGCTTTCGGCCGGAATCTGAAGTTCTTTCTGGAGCATGTGGTGGCTCGTTGGTTTAGATATTTCATTCCTAACCAGTGGGTCACGAGGTCTAACTCAGCTACCAAGGCCTGGGCAGGCATGCAGTAATATCAATACTCACAAAACAGCTATGGATCATTGCCTACGGCATGAAGGTTTACAAAGTTGCTGAGAGGGTTCCGATTTGCGATTCGGGGCACGTGCACTGATAGTCCGTAAAACCGCGTATTATGGGCTAATTAAAGTTAAGTATTAAGGCCCTTCACATGTTCAGTTCGGAAGAAATATCAATAGATCCACAATGCACCCACACAATTAACGAAATATGACTTTACCAATCTCCAGGAAACTGATGTTATCTCTGATCCCCTGAGAAGGCATCTGAAGAGAATGCGACCTGAAGAAGGAAGATAAATGATTTATAGCAACTTCATCTGAATTAAACAATGGAAACTTATCAGAGCACGACGACAAAAAGTAGCTTCAATGCAGACAGAGTCGACGAAGTAATGGGTAGCGAAACATGAGGTGAAGGCAGAGGTTATAGGTGATAATAAGTAGTCTTTTGTGTAGGTTACCGAGTCTTCAGTAAAGACGGCTATCTTCAACAAAATTAGAAAAGAAAAAGAAGGAAGAGACTCGGTTGAATAAGAGGCAACTAGAGTAATGGATAAGTACCTATATAAGTTCCAATCGGCCTATAGTTACTCCGAAGTCACTCACTACCCGATCAGCCTGACAAAGAAATTAACAATATTGCGAAGGATGTAACAACAGTTGGCGGATAGTAGCAAAAACTGCAGTAGAATCCAAGTTAAGGCATGAACGAAACCATATTATTTCACTAAGGGCTCCACATTGACGTTCACTGAGACAGCTGCGTTTACCGGACAATGATAGTAAGAGACATTTCTCCTTCTTGATAAATCCCACGGAGACCAGTCAAATGCGACATGCTTCAGTTAACCTTGCGATAATAAGCACTGCCAACCTGATCCTCGGGTACGCTGTAACCTGACAGATATTCAGAAGTAAAAGTATCCAAAAGAAACAAACAACCTAGAACCAACCGTAAAGTGCATCGGTACAAATACACACGATTCACAGTACTATAAGGAAAGATGGACAAAAGTCTGAGTGGAAACAAAAAAATCAGAAGATAACGGTTAGTGCTAATATTCACGCTTCAGAAGATGTCAAAGAGTGAAAACATTTACCCCACTATAACCGAATTTCAACAATATCTCCAAAGATCGGTTCCTTTCGTCCTGACGACCCCAGCCCAGCAGACCCCCACCACCACCACACGACACAGATCAACAGTTAGAGATTTTATCGACTGGTGATACATCTTAGTCTAGTCACCCTGAACTCCCTCTCAACCTAATCCGACTTTCCCTAGAATAACACCACCATGCAGGTGGTGGCTTGGCATGTACAACGAATGTACAAGCCATCTCAGTCGACTAAGGTTAAGGTTCACG